TATCGGTTTTGGCTACGCGTCACTCAAGTGCGAATTGGTTGACGTACACCGACTGCTAATTCTGGGTTACTTTATGACCCCAAACATAAGCTGGCTAGACCTCACTGCCAGTCGGAATCCCTTTGAGAAACAGCTGCTGCAGACCTCCTGCTTCCTGTCTCTGACTCAACACATGATCACATCTACAAGAGTTAGACCGAGACAATAGCCCTACGCTGGATCTGAGCTTTTCCAGAAACCCGGTAGAGGTAACCGAAGTGTACTTGGGAGTACCTCTAGGGAAAAGCGACCATTGCCCGGTACATTTTCTCTTTAGATAAATGGCATCCCCAAGGCATAATCTGAGAACCTGGCTTTTCCACGCTGTCAAGGTAGGAGAACTACTTGAAAGCGCAAAAGAAATGAACTGGTCCAGCATCCGTAACATAGAGGATAGACGGGCTCTCTTTCTTAGGAACATAACTCCCCTAACAGAGAAGCACGTCATAGGGGGAGTAGTAAACCCGCAGAGCAACGAGTCGTGGTGGAAACTCCGGATCCGCAAATCCCTGGAAAGGAAAAGGTTAGCTTGGAATGCTTACATCAATCTTAAGAGTTTTGCCTCATATAGAAGATACAAACTCCTGAGAAATCAAGCGATCAAGATTTGCAGGAAGACTAGACAAGTATACGAACTTGGCATCGCAAGAGACGCCAAGCTGAATCCAAACGTTACTTCGGGTACGTTCAAGCAAGATATTCTACAAGGAAAGAGATCGGCAACGAACTACGAGTTCAAAGTAACCGGCTTACCACGGATGAGCAAATCGCGAACGCCTTTCTGTCGTACTTATTGAGCGTGCACATAACCGACAGTAAACTATATCAGCCCACCACCACCAACGTATATGATTTGCCTGAGGTCTCTATTACCCCAGAGGACGTAGATACAGCCTTATCGAACCTCAATCCAAACAAATCCTCCGGTTCTAATGATGTCCATCCTTTAATCATCAGACACCACAGCTCCTTACCAAGCCTTGAACTAGCCTCTCTATTCAATATGTCTCTCTCCCTGGGCGTCATACCTTCAGACCGGAAGAAAGCAACCATGATTTCCGTTTTCAAAGACGGAGATAGGTCCAGTATATTAAACTACAGACCTATTAGTCTAACCACTGTGATAACTAAAACGCTTGAGCGCATCCTGCGAGACAAGATATGCTCATTTCTTTCAACAAAGGCTGCTTCAGCGACGCGCAGCACGGATTCTTAAAGGGCAAATCATGCCTCTCAAATCTCCTCACCTTCCTGGACGTTACCATAAACAGACTGAACAGAGACATTCAGTTCGAAGTATGTTATTTAGATTTGCCATAAAGCCGTCGACTCCTTGAACCAACGACTATTGAGCTTAGATCTTAGAAAAGCAGGAATCTCCAAGGCCATGTGCAGCAGGATAGGAAACCTCCTCTCCGGTCGTTCATTCACCCCCAATTCCGAGAGGCTCACTCGGACCCTAGCTCCCCCACCAGTGGAGTGCCCCAAGGCTGCATAATTGCGCCTCTACTCTTTCTCTTTTTCGTGAACGATATCACCGAAAGCCTTGAAAATTCCTGTTTCTCCTATGCTGATGACGTCAAGTTGGTGGGAAACAGTAGCCAACTAGACACCATCCAAACTGACGTCCACAAAATGTGTGAATAGTCAGCTAAATGGGATCTACCGCTCAACGCGTTAAAGAGCCGCATGTTTTCAGGCGTCGCAGGTCCTTCAGTCCCCATAAACAACCCGCTTCGGATTCCGGAACCCCTAAGACATGCAACTTTACCCCATTTGCAGCATGCGATGCAGCAGCTGCAAAGGCCCGTAAAACATTATTCTTTCCTAAAACCGACATAACCAACAGAAGCGCCGAAGTCTTAATCCTATATATGCACCCTTCGTCGGTCCACACCTTGAGTAGTGTTCAAGAGTGGACCCCAGTTCTCCGTATATATATCCGGAGACTGGAGCAAGTCCAACAGCTCGCTACCAGAATGGTTTGGGGAATGAAGCAGCTGAGGTACAGAGAGAGGCTCTTAGCACTAAACCTCTTCTTCCTCGAAAGACGCAGACTATGAGGAGGTTTGATTGAGATGTTCAAGATACCTAGGAACCTCAACAGTTCTCCCATGGGTCACATGTGCCGCTTAAGGGAAGATAGAGGTCTCCGTGGGCATCCATATACTCTGAAGCGAGCAACAAGCCGACTGCAAATCAGGCACCACTTCTTCTCACATAGGATAGCCTGGACTCGACTTCCGGCAACAAAAGTGTCGTATTTTCAATCATTTCACCGTTCATCCGGTGTAACGATTCTTGTTTTTCGTTTTACTTCCATCGACTTGCTCTTTTAGAGCATTCCACCATCCTCAACCTTTTTCTCCGAGACTTTGTCCACTTTGTGTTCTATTTGTAATTATGTTCACTGCAACTTTCAACCTTCTTTTTTCGGCTTCTCCTATACAGATGATTATGTTGTACATCTTATCGTTCCTTTGCATGCTTCACGGGGATCCGTGAAATATGCACTTATTATTATTATAATCAGTCCAGACCTTTAAGATTGAGTTAGACCTAGCGTGGAGCTCCCTTTTTCGGGACTTATGCTAATGATAGCTCTTCTTGAAACCCCAAGAAACAGACCGGAACGATCAAACCGGTAACAATGCCTACTCGCAGGCGAATCAGTCCCACGACAGAACACGCGACTACCAGGACACTTTACAGACGAAGGCCTCCTCACGTCCTGAAATTTGAAATTTTGGATTCACCTTTGCCGACGTGGTTAACCTACGCTATAAACGAAACCCCTCTTGTCTTTGAACACTTCGGTCTTTAGACGAACCGATGACCGACGTGAACGTGGCTTCTCATTGTGTGCAAGAACACGGTAGACGACTGTCAAGGTATAGAAAAACGGGGCAGTTTTATTGCACTAAGCACGCGATTCGCCTCATGTAGTACCAGTTGGAATGAAAACCGTTCAGCTGGGGTAAAAACAAATTATCACTATCATGGGTATACGGTACGACAGAAAGAAATGGACAGTCATACCAATCAGGTAGACCAGAAGGAGTACCTTAGAAAAAGACTTGAAATTTGTATAGAACGGGTTTTCAGAATAGTTCGGAAGAAATCTCTGACATTGAACGTTATTGAGTAACAAGAGCTGAACGAGGTAATTCGAAGGAACAAGCCGATCAAGGGGTAGGATAGACAAACACAGTGACTACTGAATGCGAGAAAGCTCGATTGGAAATACACAAGCAAGTGTGAAGAGGACTTTGAAAGGACGATGGACTGTTCTGTTGCTATCACAAATTATCAGTTTATAGGAAGCGCAGATAGGGACACAACAACACACTGGTCAAAATAACCAGTCCTGGTTAACAGAGAAAAAAATTAGATGTGTAGAACACCCACAGGGAGGAACAAAGATAATAAAGCGGTTTGGCATCAGGTAATTGATCCTTTCTGTATTGACTAGACGTATTATACCACGTAGCCATTCTGGCGTGCTCGTAAGTAGTCGCTGGCCGGAACACTGAGCTTCTCGCTGCGATACCGCGTAAGACGGATTGATTGGCGCAATGCCTCATTAATAGTCCCGCGGTATCAGCCCTTTCGAAGGAGTGAATCAATGGTCTCCAAATGTGTCCAACAGTGATTGCCTGTGACCATATGCAGATCAGTTGGCATGGTGGACAAATGACAGGATCATGGATGTGGTAATTCTGCTCGTTGAAATTGCAGTAGATCAGCTGAGACCCGTATTACCGGATCACGGAAAGGGTTGTTGCTTGGCCCTTGAAGTCCTGCTTGTGAGCCACTTCTGGAAGATATGTTGCTGTTCGATGATATCGTTTTTCGGTTACAAACTCTACGCGGATTCCATGGACGTCGATCTGCCAATCTTGGCAATATTTGCCCTCCTCAAAATGCAACAACATTTACACAGAGCTTGTTAAGTGAGGAAACTCTTCTTCAGTTATAGGAGAAAACCGACTATCCTTGAGGGCACTCGTTATGGCATATTCTCGTAGACCATGATGAATATTCAGAGCAGTGAAAGTACCAACGCATCCACGGAGACTATCATCTCGGCCATGTATCCAAATGACGAACAAAGGATATGAGCTGTTAGGAAAGGTAGTTGGTGGTTTGGGTGGATCCATTTTTTTCAAAGGATTGTGTAGAACGTCAAAAAAATATAAGCACGTTTCTCGACGAACAACACGATGTGAACCTAAACCATTTCTGGGTATAATGACTTTATTGGTAGGGTTATCCTCGTCGAGTTTTTGTTTCTTCGCCCCAAAACAGGAAGACAAAGATCTCGAACAAGACATCACAGGAGAATCACAGCGGAAACGCCGGGATAATAGAACCCCAAGGTCATAATATGATGTTATTATGTTGTTTACCGTGCAAGAACCTGGACTCAAAGTCGCATCAGCCGCAAGTCTTGTGACCTTATTGTCCAATTTTTTGCTAATTAATATCCCTCACTATTTCAATTCCCCTTTCTGTAATTAGGAAAATCTACTATTTTTACTGAATTGTTAGTCATGTTATCGTCCCAGCAGTTACCTCTGTCATTAGACGAAGATACTTTTCCAATGCGTCAAGACGAGGCTACCCTCAACTCGGAGAACTATCCGACTGAAGTGTTAGGACGTATACATGAGCATCCCCAGGAAATAGAAGACCTGAAAGCTAGGCTGAGTACATTTGGTGACTAACTTACCAGCCTACAAGCTCTGATCCTAACATCTGTCCCAACAACTTGCGCTGTGAACACGGCTCTTAAGCTTTCGCAGCAAGAAATGGTGGATTCAGCAAAGAGCTTAAAGGACAGAGAACAATATGCCACGCAAGTTATCTTCTGGAGGCGGTTCTCCGTGTCTGACACATTAGAAAGTATATGTTAGCATATATTTAGTCTCCTAGAATCAAACAAATCAATACAAACCGCTTAGCTGTACCTGGTTAACCGCTAAGGGCTCGCGGAGACACCTTGGCTTTCTTTTTGACTTGGGGTCTTCCAATCTCACCTACGACATTCTCAACCAAGCACCCACACTCAAACGCTCCTGGGTAGGTTTGAGGGGTGTCTCCAAAGACAAACATTTGCACGTGAGACTCTCGCAGTCCAAGCCAAAAGGTCCCAAAGTTGACCCTAGAGACACCGAACTATTGAGAAAACATTGAGACTTCGGTTGGACTCAAAGGTTTTCAATTCCCAAACCTATTTCCCAGACCCCAGACCTTTGAACGAGACTGGAATTTGCCTTAAACCAATGGCAGCCAGCTCAGCGAAAAACATAGAACAGGACCCGGCTTTAATCGAGGCATCCGGGGAAATGAGACAAAAGAAGCCCCAAAGCAAAAAGCAGACTAAACCCAGCCCTGCCTGCTCAATAGCCCCACCCAACCCTAAAAAGGGCTCCTCGGGGATCCTCCTACTCGCAACCGTGTGCGTTTGAACATAACGGAAAATTGGCTGGAGGCCAATAAAAGGCCGACTCTCCACCCGTTGAATGGTCGGCCAGAGAGGCTCATAAAGAAAGTCACTTCGATGGTGAAGTACCTCCGCAATATGGCCCCCCGATCATCAACGTAAAATCATCTCGTACAATCACCACTACTAATGTCCCTTTCGACCACTCGACCGCTCTCACCTTGCTCCCTATCAGACCTGAGAACGTTGATAGACGCATAGTTAAATGCATTTCTAGCAATGGTCTTTGTAACGATCAAAACGCGATTGTCCTGATCCGAGCAAAACGAAAAAGACCTCGTCTGTATGCGTTCAATTAAATGACCCTTAGCTCGTTCTGGATAGCGATAAACAAATCTCAGAGCAATGCGTAGCCCAAATTATCGAGAACCAAGTCGATCAAAAGTAATCTACGGTACTACTTTTGCAATAATCCCAAATACATAAGGCCGTCATACCTCTGACAGTGAGCCTGATTTACTCCCCAGCCGGAATGTTACAAATATTCACAGAAAATATCTGTGGTAATAAAAAGTATATAAGAAAATGAGTGATTTGAACTACCTTCCAGATAATTCTGGACGAATGGAAAAATTCTGCACGCTTCAACAGATCAAGCAAAAGAATCTTGAGTGTTACAGTCAAAAAGGGTTCAATATAACAGAGAGCAACGGTGAGCTGAACAAATAGCGTCCAATCGAAACTTTGATCGCAATAAAACAAGAAAAAGCACTGAATCCCATTTACATATAAGAGCAAATCACTTGAAGTATGTGTCCAATAGATATTCTTCACCGTGAGAAAGATGAAATAGAAGGTTCAAAAGAAAAAATTCACCGACATGAAAACCATTGTCGGAAAGAATGCACGATAGAGTGGCGAAGAAAGATATGGAAATGCAAGGTAATTGAGAGGAATTTTCAGTTCTTTTGACTTTTATAGTCTTAGCCTCCCAAACAAAGTTCTACAATTAAGGCAACTTATCTTGGAGCAACATCCCCATGTTATCACCCTTATTGAGACCTGGGTCAACGATAATGTTCTCCCCTCCCGGTTTTACATTGATAAGATCAGATTCAGTCCGGGGCAGAACAGGTGGTGTCATAGCTTATTTTAGTTGCGCTCTTCCTCCTCCCTTTCTTATTCCAGTCAACCCAATACACCCAATAGACAATTTGTGGGTCAAACTCAAACTCTCAAGGTAAGTCAGACTACTACTTGGGGTCGTGTACCGTCCCCCGCAGAGCTCCGTCATCGAAAGCCATCTACTCATTAACCAGTTAAGATCAATAAGTGTCACCCACCCTGTCACCCACCTTCTGATTACTGGTGACTTCAATGCCCTGCGTATTAACTGGTTCAGGACATACTCTTCCGACCTTTCTTTTTTCATCCTCTTATCAATCTAATATTAAAAAGCTCCTAGACTCAACTCGTAGATCAACCTACAAAATTTCGTCCGGGTCAGGCTCCTTCATTGATAGATGTGACTATAACGAATGAAAACAACCAGATCGATGTGGGAGATCACCTTCCACCTATCGGAAAGAGTGACGAGTGGTTTGTCTCTCGTGTTCTCGCGCACTCTAGTTCTAAACCACCTCTTCCTCGTCCCATTCAGAAGCTTTCAGATGAGCGGTCTGGGCTGTTTGCCAGATTTAAGCAAACGGGACTCGAAGCTGATGGAATAGCTTTTGAAAGGCTCAAGAACATCTGCCACTCAAATATTAGAGAATAAAAACTGTGCACTCAAAGAGCTATATCTGAACGGGCTCAAAATAACAGACCGTTCATCTACAAATTTATCCGTCGACTGCGTGGCACATCTCACCCCTCTCTTACACTCAATTTACCAGACGGGACAGAAGGAACTGCCCCTTCACCGATTGCAGGCGAATTCCAAAAGCACTACCAGAGCACCTTTAGTTCCACTCCCATCACTATCCATCCGATACTATAACCATTTCTACTAAACTGCACGCTCGGCCTTGTTACTTTCTCACAGTCAGACGTGGAGAAAAATCTACGGTACCTCAACCGTTACTGCTCTATGGGACCGGATAAAGTACACTCTAGAATGTATACAACCAATAGGATTCTTCTCATCGACCTTATCATCCGTTACCAAACCCACCTCTATGGCTAGCGTACGGCGGATTGAAGTGCCATTGGATAGTTTGGAATGTCAGTTGCTTGTGTAGTTCGCTCTGGTGGACTCGGCACAGCTACCTTTGTGGCTTGTTCGACGCGCCCACGCAGTTTGAACCGTTGTCGGATTAGATGTTGTTTGGGGCTCCGCGCCTGATG